CCCCAAAACCCCAAAACCCCAAAACCCCAAGTAAATTTATAACTGAAAATTTAGGAAAATGAATAATAACTTATTTACAAAATATTTATTACTTTTTAAACTTACGAATTCAATCCACAAATTAATAGTTCAATGTCAAACTCCACCGACTATTCTGTTTTGCAATCATGTTACCTTTCTGATCGCCTTAGTATTTCTTTTGTCACTTTGTAAATTTATCTCTATTGTTTAATCATCTGTTAGGAAAAAAGAATTTGGACTGTCATTGACGTTTTAATCAGCTCGACTTTCATATTCCTCTTCATTCTTAGATTTTTAATTCCTTGATTAAATGTTCGGTTTGATGTTACTTATATTGTTATATTGCTTTTATTCAGCTTCATTTCTGGTTCTATCTGGCTTTATAGATCTTTCCAATCGTCTCTGAGCATTAGCCCTAGCTTATTCTTAATCCTGCCTCTCCTTTGCCTTCTTTGTCTCAAGATTTTGCTTAATCTCAGGTTTCTTCAAATCCTCAATTATTTTGTCAATCTCTTCATCTCCAATTTCACCTGATTCCACTTCTTCATCCAACTAGGTTAGATTGAAAAAGGTGGTGTCATCCGAGGGTTTAACAGGTGCTTATTTCGCATTTTGCTTTCTGAGAGAGTCTTGATCATGGATCCTTAATATATCACTTGTGTTGTCTTTGGTGTCTAGTTCTGAAGCAGCCCTAAAGGATTATAAATCTTCTATCGGCTGTGGTAAAGTCAGAGTTTAGTTCTTTTCCTTTCTTGCCTTTGCTCTCTAAAGCTTTCTATATTCCGCTATCTGTTTCTCTAATTCCCTCTATCTTAAAAAAACCAGCTTTAGCTAGTTATCTTGGTCCTTGTCTTTCAATTCTATAACCTTAATTTCATACTATGTATTTTTAATCTTCTGATCTAAGTCTTAGAACTCCCTTTCCAGACCCCTTTACTTCTATTCCCTCTACTTTTTGGCTTCATTAACCTCTTGCTAAAGTTTATCTATGAGATACTTTTTAGTTTCGATCTCATCTTGTGTGCGAATCTGGATATTCCCACTCTTTTTATCCTTGATTGCCTTCATGAGCTTTTTACTGTCATTCTCTTTTCTTAGTATCTCAGCATGTTGATCCATTATCTTAGTTTATAACTCCCTGTACATTTTCCGCAATTCTCTCATCTCTTTAGACTAAACTTTGAACTGCTGAAAGAACTTGGATTTGACATTCTTATCTTGATCCTCGTTTTTTTCCTGTTTTAGCAATGCTTTTTCTTAGCGGGTCTTGACTTGTGTACTATATTCGAACTCCTATTTAAGATTTTAGAGCACCTAGGCTTTGTCTTTGAGAATATTTTACATCTAATCAACTCTGTTAAAATATTTAAGCTAGATTTGATGATTACTTATGTATATCATGTAGTTCATCTAATTTGGCTTAAAATAGATCTATTTCCTTTTTGAGATTAGATTTATGGCCATTCTTTGCCTTCATCTATTGATCTTTCTCTACATTATTCATTAAATATAAATTATAATTTACATTTTAGATCAGCTGCTATCTCGGTGTTATGCTAAATATGCTCATTTTTCCTCCTTTCCTTAGCTCTCGTTAGCTTTGAACTTATCTCATCGACTATTGTTGCCATTTGAGTCTTCAATTCCAAATTGTATTTTAGAAGTTCCACTATTGAATCTGAGTGCTTGATTCTTTCAAACTATCTTTTCTAATCAGACATGGGAGGAGAACTTTGCTCGTCATCAGATTTAATTATAAAGTTCTTTTTCAACAGTGGCCTCAACCTTTGAGAGTTCAACCTATTTCGAACATTTCCCATTACCGATAAATTTCCCATTGAGTTTTTTTGTCTCTAGTTCTTATTCAAGGATAAGAGGGACGAGTCGTTGTTAATCAGCCTTGAAGAATTCCCGTAGTCAATAGTCTAATTAATTCTCTAATTAGAATGTAGATTAGGTTTACTAATACTACTTTGATTGGTAGATTTGTTTTAATCCATATCATCTAGCATCGACATGTAATTTCTGCTATGACGAGTGTCTTCATTTCCTCCACCTAAGTAAATTTTATTGATTTTATCTACTATTCCAGAACTACCATTCATTGAGTCTCTATTAGGAGTCCTAGTCAATAAATATCTCTGTTTGCTTTAATAGCTTTGCTTTTAATCAAATTTGCTATCAGCAAAGTTCTCTGGAGTTTCTTGCAATACTACTGTCTGATTGTTCAAATCTCTAGCTCTTAACTAAATGTTAATTGTCTAAATTTTAGAACTTCTCAACTGCTGCGATGGATGAATGGATATTTTGGATCTGCTATTCCCAAGTCCCCCTTAATCATCCATTAGCATTATATGACTTTAATTGAGTGAGATAAGTTAATTTGTATCCTTGATGCTTTACTTCAATTCATCATATTTTATTAGTGCCTTGTCAATAGATTACCGCATTGATGAAACTAGATTTTGAATATCGTCATCTTAAGATGCATATATATCATCTTAGCTATCGATTCTAGAATAGTCGTTCTATCTTTAGCTATTATAATTCGCTTTAACTTTGATTGTAACATTACTATTTTGTAGGTCAAAATTGTAATCATCTACAGGAATTTCAATGACAGTATTATTTCTGCTGACATCTATAACCGAATCACTTGCCTATTGCAAACCTCTTCCTCCATCCTAAGACTCATTTTGTTTGAAACCCCAATCATCATCATTATTGTTATCCTCTGGGAGCATATATTACTTAGTGGATAATTTCTAAGTGTTCCTCTGATTAATAATTTGGGGCAAGAAGCTTTTACTTTCATGAGATGCCTGTCAATTAGTCGTAATTTTGGAATTATTAATATTTTAGCTATCATACACTTCTTGATTCGCTTTCAGTAATATCGAATTATTGTTATAATTACTAAGATTTAGTCCATTTTTAGAGTAGTGCTAAGAATTCTCCTGAGTCTAGTATTTCTGCTTGAGATTGCGATAGTTGTTTCTCAGCTGAATAGTATCATTTGTAAAATCCTTCATGACATCCATTGCTTAATTTTTAATCTAATGCTAAAAGATAATATATTTTAATTGCATTCCTTATTTTGGTTGCTATTCTGTGATAACGGGGTTTTGGGGTTTTGGGGTTTTGGGG